CTTATTAATTTCACACAATCTTAACAAAATAAATCTTCATCCATTGGCAATTTGCATATCATTACTATTATCAAATATTAAATAATTGTTTTATCAAATCATTAACTACATTTTGAGATTATAAACATATAGAATTTCTATTAAGATTAAAACTAAATAACAAGTGGATATATCACATTTAAATGATTTTAACGACTTATAACCAATTTTAAAATAATAAATGGATTATATTTTATGATTTAATCTAATTGAAAACAAATAAAATGTCAAATTGGTATGATATAATAAATCTATACTATTAATTGGGAAGGACAACTTGAAGCCAAACACCCCCCAATTTTAAAAAAAAATTTCATGAAAATAAAACCAGTTGCCAAACAGAATTAATGACAGCAAAAAAAAAAACAAAAACAAAAACTATCTATATTTATGGAAATCATAATAATCTTTTACCATAAAAAGTGGACAATTAAATTCAAAATTAAATATATGTTAAGATATCTATTTTGAATATACATAAACATATTTAATATTAATTTAATATTTTAATATAATTTCGAAATTAATAATTTATATAGAATGAAATCTAATAAAACAAAATCATCATATATCTAAAAAACAAAGATAACATTTTTTTAGAAAAATAAAAAGAAAAAAAATTTGTTAGCATATGAAATAATCAACTAATCAAATTCTACATGATGATTTTGTTAATTTCACAAAATCTAAACTTATTTTTTCTTATTAATTTCACAAAATCTTAACAAAATAAATCTTCATCCATTGGCAATTTTCATATCATTACTATTATCAAATATTAAATAATTGTTTTATCAAATCATAAACTACATTTTGAGATTATAAACATATAGAATTTCTATTAAGATTAAAACTAAATAACAAGTGGATATATCACATTTAAATTATTTTAACGACTTATTACTAATTTTTAAATAATAAATGGATTATATTTTTATGATTTAATCTAATTGAAAACAAATAAATGAAAGTTTGTGGTTGCCATGACTTGTATAATCTACTTTTGGACGATTATATGAAATTTTACATATATTAAAATTATATTTAGTTACATATAATTCGAAAACAAACATTATCTGAATTATTTCTCATAAAAAAAACAAAACATGATTAGATATAATTGTTATGAGACACGGTCATAAAGTTAAATTCACTTTCAACTATCAAATATATAACTACGAGTACGATACGGGGACAAGTAATTTAAATTGCTAAATTTAATTTCCACTTTCCTATGTATTTCAAATATTTAGACATGAAATGACGGGTACAAGAAGATAACGTATACTTCGGATAACAAAACTACAATAAATCCATGTATTAAAAAAATAGAAATACCTAAATCTTTAGAAAACAAAAAGGCTAAAACATGAATCTTTGAATTGAAGAAAGTAATGAGAAATAAAGATGAAACTGAAAGATCAATAAAATTAAAAATCAAACAAAGATTGTGTATGCTAGGATTACAGACAGTACCTTGTGAATGAAAATGGTGGGAGCATGTGACTTAGATTGATAATTAGATTTTTGTTAGTTTGATAAAAATAAATATTTAAACGAGAAATACGGGTATCCCGTCTAAATCTTTTACCAAGTTTCTTATAATAAACATTGGCAAATGATTATGTTATAAAAAGAAATGATTATGGAACAGAAATTTTATGACAGATAGAAGACGGGACGGGACGGGACGGGGCGGGGTGGGACAGGACGGGACGGGACGGGGCGGGGTGGGACAGGACGGGTCAGGACGAAACGGAAAGGGACAGGACGGGTTTTCCATTCTAAACTACACATAAAACAATTCAAACTAAAGCCAAACCCAAATCCGATTTAACATCTCTAAGCAAACAGTTATAAATGTTTTGATTAGTTTAAAAAATAAACACGTAATATCACTTATCATTTTCATTTAAATAATTTTAAAATTGTATTATGTATTCATTTTGTTGTTTTACAAATGTATGTCTATATATAGTTTATCAAATAAACTCATATAACAAAACTTTACCAAAATAGCATCTACTTAAAAAATCGTAATTTTGTAAAAATAACCCCGCACGTACGTGCGGGTCCATCACTAGTTTTTATTTAACTGGAAAAATTTATAAAATCCACTATTAATAACTTTCAAATCCATTAGTGATGTCTTTTAAATCCACATAATAATACCAAATCCACGTTCAATGTATTAGAAATCCATCAAATTTTAAAATCCATTTAGTAACTTAAATCCATTAAATACCTTTATCCAATAACACCCCCTAAGTTTTTCTGATAAATAAGTTGTTCCAAGACAACCCACAAATAGTCTCACTAACGAAGAATATTAACATATATTTCCAGAAAAAATATATATATATATATATATATTATTAGTTATACTTATATACATTTTTTTTGGGTAGGAGGAGGCCTCCTTCACTTTATTAAAAAAATAACTTTAAACAATTGCAACCGGATTTGCCGCGCGAGAAATCGCATTACCCCTATCATCCTCTTAAAAAATCACGTTAACCGAATTTAGAACCAACTCAAGTAAATAAAACCCCAACGGTAACGAAAATACATAGTTCGCTAATCCGTCAGTTAGACGATTAGTTTCCTTATACTTATATACTTATTACTACTACTTCCTTCCGTTTCAATTTAGGTATTGTTTAAAAGGTAAGTGTCGATTAATATTTTCATTAAAACTAAAAATGTATTAAGTTTAAAAGGATAATTTCAATATGCAACCACGCTTATTAGTTATTATCAAACCTCCTTTTAAGATATTTAGATAAACGGTTCCAGTGATAGATTAGATATAGAACTAATTGTTGGATATATTATTAACAACATCAAAGAAATATTTTAAAATATATATTCATTAGTTTAAAATGATTTAAATTAATAAGAAATAGAAAAATTTATCACAAGTAATTCTGAAATAACATGCTGTTGATCTAAGGTTGTCACTGAAAATTTATTGTGTTGTTATATTTAAAAAAAAAAAGTAGAATGTGTTTTATTAAAAAAGACAAATAATAGTCATTGTATCACACATGTTCAATCTTGAATGGGTTTTACATGTGTCTACATTGTTCATATATGATATGGAAACTCAAAAACAAATAAGATATTGTTAAACTAAATATGACAAAACATGTTTTGCCTAAAAAGCTACTTTAGAACTTCATACAGTTAAATATAATAGTATATATTTAGGTGTTTGAGATTTAATCTAAAAGAAAAAGGGAAAATTAATTCTAAAAAGTTAAAAACTTAAGAAAAAAACAAAATTATGTTTCTTATTTTATAATACAATGAGTTGGATACATTAAATATAAAGATAAGAAATTAATTAGTTTCCTTTCACTTTCAGCTTTTAACATTTCTACTAAGAAACTTCTCTATATGCTAATGTTATCTAACATAAGTCTGATACATTATAAATTGAGTGATCATTTTGATTATGTGTCTCCTCATTATCAGTATTATATTTGATAAGTGTTATTAGGCTTCATAAGATATCTCATAGGTCGAGAAGAGTACTGTTACGCTAGTGATGGGTTGGTGGTTCTGGAAGCGTCGGTCACAAAGAAGAAGCATCCCTTACGAGTACGTAGAGTTACTTATGTGATTTGACTTATGTTGTTATATCTTTATATTATTCTGATGATGTTACATTTTTTTTTCTTTTGAAAATTATTGTTTAGTTATACCATGGATGCTGAGCTCAAGATCAAGTTGCATTGTGAGAATTGTGCCAAAAAACTCAAAAAAGTTTTAAGCAAATTAGAAGGCAAGAAACTTTATAATGTATATTCATATTTATTTGTTGACGAGACAATATGTATATATGTCTTAATAAGATCTTTTAATCTATTATTAGGAGTTGAAGACTGTTTAACAGATGTGATCAATCAAAAAATCATGGTAGCTGGTGCTTTTGATTTGGAGAGGATGCTGAAGATTATCAAGAAAAAAACTGGTAAAAACGCAGAGATTTTGGTGATGACTAAGAGATCTGATGCAGTTCAAAAGGAAGATATTGAACCTGATGCAGTCCATACAAATGATGGTCATGAACTAGTTCATGATGAAACAACTTCTTTAACTCCGAAAAAAGAAGAAAATTCTGAAAACGAGAGCGAGGCGAGGTAGATTAATTAATTACTATCTAATTGTTCTATTTGGTTTGTTCTTTGGTTAATTGTTGTTAAAGTGGTTAAAGACTAGCTACATATGTGAAAATTAACTCCTTACATGTAGTTTAATCGAAGTCGAGTTCAAGATACCATTTCTAGATGCCGAGTTCGAGGAGTGCATTAAGAAAGTTATTTCCAAATTCGAAGGTATGTCATATGTATATGCTTCTTATTATCCACCATTTTACATATATTGGGTTTGATCAAAGAAATTGTATTACTTTATATTTGTAACATTTCTTTTTAATGATTTTGATTTAGGGATTACATGGTATGTGGTCGATAATGAAAACCAAAAGGTTGTGGTTACTGGTAGCTTTGATGAAGAGAAATTGTCGAAAAAGCTGAAGAAAAAGATCGATAAGAAGATGGAAGAAGAAGAATCCAAAATTGCTGCAAAGAAGAAAGAAGAAAGTGATAAGCATGCCAAAGCTAAGAGTGATGATGGAAGTGAGATAGCTAAGTACATGATGGTTGGTGATGCAAATCCTAACGCATGTTGTATTTCTTAAGATGTATTCGAGAAAACAAGTATCCACCATATGGAACTTTGTTATGGCAATAGACTTTATCTATCTTGAGATATTTTAATATATGTTTCATCTTGATATTAAATAAAGGGAATAGATTTGTAACAAAAGTTATGTGTTAAAAAATTTATTGGGTAACTGATTTAATATAAATCTATATACAATTTATTTGATCCTTCAAACTGTCACTTTCAAATCTATAAAAAAATTATATCTGAAATTTAAAATATAAAAAAAAATATTAAATGAATAACACAAAATTTTAACTAGTAAGAACTTAGTCGATGAGTACGTTTTTATCAATGAGTTTGTATATCTTCATGTCTCCTACCATTTCTCTCACGCCAAAATGATAAATATATATGTATTGCTAACTTATGATCATGTGTGACTCATTCATATAATCCTGACGAATAACAATATGTGACTTTGTCTATCAAGTTATCCAAATTTCTTATGTTCACATCTCCTACCAATACTTAAGTAAGGCAAGCTGATCTCTCCTAATTTTCTTAGTTATCTATCAAGTTATCCAAATTTTCTTAGAATCGTATCAATATAAAGTATTAATTAATGACTCTCTCCTACATCTAAGGACAAGATTTAATCTATTAAATGAAAATGAAAACATATCTCTAAACTGCATGGCATGCAGACTTACCCCAAAACACCATTTAATACAAACTTATACTTACGTAAGAGACATTCATGTGGCCACAGCAAATTACTCTTTTTGGGGTCTTTGGGGACTGTGTTTTTTGCCAGAACAAATCCGAGATCATGCATATTTTCTTCTTATGTGGTTATGTGTTTCAGAACTTTGGACAACTACTCTCGCAAAACTGGCTAGTCTTCTTGCTTTCATTTCTGAGTATCAACATCACTTAGAAGAGGTGTTCCTTATTCGTTATGTCTTGCAAGCCGTTCCATATTTTCGGAGAGATAGATAAGCTAAGCAAGTCTGTAATCAGATTTCATCAATTCGACTAATGGGTGATAGACGGTAAGACGAAGCTTTTCAACTTTGGCTCTAATAATACCGTGTTGAAAATGATTGTGATCTCCTTTAACAAATTTATCTTTATTTTTTTAAGGAGAAACGTTACACCACTAGTCGTAAATACATTTTTTAATATAATTTAACAGGGCGTTCAAAAACAATTCATATGGCCACATGTATGCATTTGGGAGGCACGTCCTGCCATTCAAACAAAGAGCAGTGTGATGATTTGGAAAAACCCGACCACATCAAAAGAACTCCCTATCATCATCTCTCACTTACCAGTTACCACACTGACATGGTTGAATGGTTCAATCTAGATACTACAAGAAAATGATCGATTTCCTACATCAAGTTTCGTGAAAAAATGGTAGAAAACATGGTTTTCTTTCTATTTTCCTACAAAAAATGGGTAGGATATCGCCCATAAGAAATCGTAAATGGTAAGATTTTAGTAAGAAATTTCTTACCAAAATGAGTCGTAGAAAATTTCGAAAGTTATTTCGTAGAAACGGAGAAGAGTATTTTTGACCATTTTACATCGCTGTAAGCTCTCGATAACCTAGTCTACAACATTGATGCTAGGTGATGCTATAATGAAATCCATTTTACTTCACAACTAAGAGGATCAAATAATATATAACCTAAGTTGAGTTCATCTAAAGCATCATACGACTTTCTTTTCAAACACTTGTTCGTTAACTTAAGCACAATGGTCCTTAAACTACATATACTATATATTGAAACTGCATGCTTATATACATACTGACTCCTCAACCAGTGCCAACTCAATGAATTTGGAGTCCCTGTACGATCTTTAAGAAATTGGCCCTTTATTCATAAATTGTTTTTCTTCTCACAAAAGCATATACCGTATATACATATATTGTATATTAACCAGCAAGCAAGAAACATTTACTTATTATTAGTAAGCAACATTTTTCAATGAACATGATTAGAAGCATACAATGTTAGAAAATGTTCAACGAATCAATTGCTTATCTTTTCTTACTTCATCTTTCTTTAAAACATTTTGGATTAATACAACAAGATTTCAAGTAGGAATCATCTAGTGACCGTAACTTAATAAAATTGAATATAAAACCAAAAACATTCTCATATAACTGATATTATTGCTCAAACCTTTTATTCAATAATGAATGAAACAATGGCTTAATCTTATCATGGCCATCAATCTCATCAAGATGTCTCTCTACAACTACACATTTTTAGAAAATACAAGATCAATATTATTTTCAGCAGCTCCTTAGCAGTTATCATAGCATTTTCAAAACCATCATCATCTCTATGTTACTAAAACAACCCTTTTACTCCTTCTCTTGCAACATCAATTACATTACCATATAACTATAGATAACACAAATGCAAAACTACAAAGTTCATTTACAGCTAAAGATTTAGCTTCACTTTGGATACAAGGATCATTATGATCTTCATCTAAAACTTGAAATAAGGCTGCACGTATATCAGAAATTTGGAATCGTATAACTTTGATACTCTCAATATGACCTTCCCATCTTGTCGTCCACAAATGTTTAAGCGTTACATTTTTCGGACTTTCTTTAAAAACATTCCACCATTTTGTTGAGTTAGCAAAGATAGTATACAAACGTTGTTGCATACTACACTAAAACAAAATCTCTTGCTATATCACACAAAATTAAGTTAAAACTATGACAACCACAAGGTGTGTATAAAATGCTAGCTCTAGGATTAAATTTAGAAGTCTCTTTTGCACTCCTTAATTCTTTCCTTTCATGTTAGATCTATCTTCATATATATATATATATATCCTTGACATCTCACGTGATATATATCCAAGGGTTCTAGTATCCAATTTCAGTGTCATAGAATCTTCCAAAGGACATTAACATGTTGTCTCAACTCAATACTATCGAACAATGTTGTGGTGAGAATTAAGTCATCTTCGAATCTTACATCTAATAAATTTACGATTATTTGGGTAGTTTTTCTTTTCCTTTTCAATTAAAAAAAAAACTATTTTGAAATTCATATTTACAATTATTAATTTAAGAAAAACAAAACTTATGTAACATTAGCTGGTTGGATAATATATTTTATCTAACTTTGCTGATTTAATTCTTGCTTGTATATATAAATATTTAGCTTAAAATAAATATAGCTATTGTTAGACAAAAACATTATATTAAAAATATGACATGGCATAAAATTCTTGATAACTTCAACACATGTTCTCTCTTGTGACAATTTTCTCTAGTATATACAGAAATATTAAAGGGAAAATTAATTTAATCATTATCCCAAGTTAAAGAAACAAATCAGAAATTATGAGAGATTTAAAATATAAGAACAATTTATCAAGAAAATAAGAAATTAAATTGAGGAAAATTTGGCTAATTTCAAGGATATATGTAAATTTAATTTTTAAGAAAATTGCTTATATAACAGTTACAAAATCAAATATAATTAAATATCTATAAAATAAATACCCCAATCCAAAAAAAAAAGTATATAATTAGCTTATAATATTAATACACCTATATAAATCATATATGGTATTGATCATCAATGATTGGGTAATCTATTGTGTATCTTTTTTTTTTACTTCTTCTTTAAACAAACTATCTGTCTTTTTTTTTCTATGTGTTAATAACACCTTTTTGTTAAAAATAAAATTTCCATGTGTTATGAATTTGTGTGTGTATATAAAGTGTCGTTTTAGGCTGTCGAGGAAAGCATCTATCTTAGTTTATTTCTTTGAGTGACTAAACAAAGTTTGTAAGAAAAATGGGTTGTTGCTGCTTACCGCTTTCGCCACCAAATGCTCCTAACATGTAAGCGTAATGTATAATTTTCTTAAAACATGTTTAATAACAAGTTCTCTTACAATAACTCATCATAAGTCACTCTTGTTCAATATGTGTTGTAGTGTTTCGGATGTCGCATTCTCGATTCCGGATTCTTGTCCCGAATGCGAGAAAAGTATGACTGATGCTATAACCAAATTCAAAGGTATTGAGCTAGTAAACATTTACAATCATAGTTTAAAGAAAATATATTAGTGATATGAAGGTGTATACATATATGCATGCATGCATGTTGTAATCTGTAATTTTTGTATGGTTATTGAAGGAGTTAATACATCATCGGTGACGAGTACTGGGAAGATTGTGGTCACTGGAAGTTTCAACCAGGACAAGCTGCTGAAGAAACTCATCAAAGTTACAGGGAAAGACGTGGAGATCGTGGAGAAGGATGAAGAAGTTGAGAAGAAAAGTGATGAAACAGTTGCTGAGAAAACTGAAGAGCCTGAAAAGGTTATTGAACCAAACAGTGATGAGCGTAAGCAAATGGACAAGTTTATGATGTTCAGTGATGAAAATCCCAATGCCAAATGTACTATTTCGTAAATTTTTGGCATTTAAGTTTCATATCATTCTAGAAAAAACAAGTATTGCTCTGCATGAAACTATAATATCATCTCCTTGTTTTGTAGTTTTAATAAAAGTATTATGCATTCCCTTTGTTTAGTTTTGTTTTTGAGTTGAATGGTTTAAGAGATTCACATATTTTAATTAATTTATTTTCTTGTCAGTTCTATTTTTTTTAATTGATTTTATTAATCAATTTAATTAAGATCTCATTATCGTATATTTATTTGGTACAGATATTATTTATATTTATATATATAATTTGATTATGTTCATTTTTTTAAAGGGTTTTGATTATGTTCATCTTTATGAACCCCAAAAAAAAGAATCCTAAAATCAATTTGCTTACTAGATATATAAGAACATAATTAAGGAAATATATATGGTATCTTTTTCTTTTAATTCAATTTAATAAATTTTATACTATATTAAGTTTCTTTGATATAAATAATTTTTATTATATAAAACTTTTTTTTTCAAAGTTGCTAACTCATGTGATCACGACACGTGTTTAGCAAAAAAATAAGATGTCTTCATGTGTCATTTATAAATTTTGTTAATATATGTAAAGTATAAGAAAAAAATCTTAAACCTATCGAGTAAAGTTTTTTTATTAATAAATTAAATTATTAAACTAGTTTGGTTGAATTTTGTTTTTTTTTTTTTTATTATTCAGGATAAATCCCCGAACCTATGAAAGGATCCGAGACTAATCTTTGGGGAGAGGTATCCCACGTGTAGGGTTCCCCCAGTTTTTCAAATGGGTTTTAAGCAAGAGATTCATACCAATGTGGACAAAGGGATAAAGCTAGCAATTCTGCGTCTGGGGAGAATCGATCTCTGGCCTAAACCAACAGGGCGACTCTTCCACCAGACTAGAACCACTACCACACCACCTCTGGTTGAAAAACTATTTAGTTGAATTTTGTTTGTCTCAGTATATTAAAAAATAAATAAAAGTTCCTTTTATATAAAAAAAGTGTTAATACATTAAACTATTAACGTCATTCTATTAATTTTGTTGTTGCTAATATATTCACACATTAGAAAATAAAACTTAAATTTCACACGTTCATCTTTATTTAAGAAAATATATAATCCAGTCTTTCCATTGCCTTGGAGTTAGAGCTTTTGTTAATACTAGTAAACCGGACAAGAAAGTAAACCGGAAATTGTTCAGATCATCGGATTGGTGCGTTCGATCGTCGGTTTACCAGTATAGGTCCAGGATTTAACATACTACTCGAACAAAGACATCTCACACAAAGGTTAAATGAAGACACACACAAAGAAATGTAACAGATTTTTTTTTACAAGATGTTAAATGATTGTACAACTCTAACCAAAATTACAAACAAAAAAAAATATCATAACACTAATTTTTTATACAACCTTTGCCTTTGCTTCACTCTTCACCATAGCTGTTGCCAAAGGACTTTTTCTGCTACTTGTTTTAATCAGTACTTATAAGAAACTTTGGTTGCATTTTGTATTATATGTTTTAGCCAACATACTCTTACTCTCAAAACAGAGCTTCCCTTGGTGCACCGATTAAGTTAAGTGCGGTTGCTGCGATGTGAGATGGCATGAGTCCAGCTTCAGCTAGTTGATCAGCTGGTGCACCGTGGTCTATGTACCGATCAGGCAGTACCATTGGTCTCCACTGTATAAAGCAGTTTGCAAATTAGAAACCATAGATTTCGAAAAGACAAAGCAGATTGTTTAGGAATTTATGGTAAGTACCTTGAGCTTCCCGTCGAGAAGACCATCTAGAGCTAGAAACTGAACAACGTGCGATCCAAATCCTCCAATTGAACCTTCTTCAACTGTAATCAGCACCTCGTGCGACTTAGCTAAGCTGCGAATGAGAGCACGGTCTAATGGCTTGCAAAACCGTGCATCTGCTACAGTTACGTTCAATCCGCGTTCTTCGAGCATTATGGCTGCTCCTAAACAGCTCTGAACTGCTGAGCCATAACCCAACAGTGCAACTCTCTCTCCTTCCTTCAAAATTCTACCTTTCCCAATCTGGCAAGACCCCAAAAGAGTTTTTTTTTGGTCAAGATGGTAAAGGAAGAGAGAAAAACAATATGAGAGGATCAGATTAAGTTCTACCTCAATTGGAACACCTTTGTTTCCAGGAGGTAATGCAACACCAATACCGTTACCTCTAGGGTAACGGAAACAAGAAGGACGATCATCAATCGCAGCAGCGGTTGCAACCATATTAAAGAGATCTGCTTCATCTGATGGAGCCATCACTATCATGTTAGGAAGGCAAGCCATAAATGTTACATCAAAAGCTCCACAATGTGTCGGACCATCAGCTCCAACAAGTCCAGCTCTATCCATCGCAAATCTCACCGGTAATTTTTGCAAATCGACATCATGTACAACCTACAGAGAAGGTCACCATATACTCTATTAGTTTCTAAAATGTTTCATAAGAAGTAAAATGATTAAGATGTTGAACTTGCCTGGTCATAAGCACGCTGCATGAAGGACGAATATATTGCACAGAAGGGCTTAAGGCCTTCACAAGCTAAACCCGCAGCAAAAGTAACTGCGTGTTGTTCCGCGATTCCAACATCGAAACATCTTGTTGGGAAGCGACGTTGAAAGAGATTTAAACCAGTCCCACCTCCCATGGCTGCATGAATCGCAACCACATCTTTGTCTACCTCTGCTTCTGCAACTAATGCCTCCGCAAAGTAAGTTGTGTAAGACTGAGTCTTGTTAGTACTTTTGAACTGTTTACCCGTCGCCGGATCAAACTTCACAACACCTGGAAGAAAAATAATCAAAATATATACCCCTGTAGCTAAGGAACTAAAGAAAACGTTATCTATATAACTCGATTTACCATGGTATTTGTCATCAGCTCTCTCCGCGTAAGGATATCCACGACCTTTCTCTGTCACCACATGAATAAGTACCGGTCCTGTGGTTCTGGTACTCTTAACTTCTTTAAGAATGGCTACCAAATCATCTATGTTGTGCCCATCAACTGGACCAATATAGTAAAGACCAAGTTCTTCAAACAGTGACGATCCAGTACCGCTTATCATTCCTCGAGCATACTCATCTACCTTAGCAGCCAATTGGTGCATTGGACCGCCTATTTGCTTCGTCATACCCTATACGCAACAAAAACTAAAATTATTATCAACTCCATAAAGATCAGGATTTTTTCTTTACCATCTTAGAAAGATATGCAATAAACTTGCCTTTGCGACTTCTCTCAACTCTCTGAGAGCCGGGTTAGACTGTAACCGGCTCAGAGCACTACTCAATGCTCCAACAGGTGGACTTGGTCCATCCAAAGTAGCAGTAGGTAATGAGACTTGCTTGTTGTCATTAAGAATCACAATCATATCAGAGTCAAGATATCCAGCGTTGTTCATGGCTTCATAAGCCTGCCCTGCTGTCATGGCACCATCACCAATCACAGCAACCACATTGTTGTTCAACCCCTTCAAATCCCTTCCTACCGCCATTCCTGTAAACACAAATTTCTGAATCAGTTTTGTTTTCTTACTGTGTAGACAAAACAAGACAAGGCAAAGACACTTAAGGAACTGATTGGATCACCTAAGCCAGCAGAGATAGTGGTTGAACTGTGTCCTGTACCAAAGCAATCATGCTCACTCTCTCCTCGCTTGGTGAAACCTGAGAGACCATTGGTTTGCCTCATTGTTGGCATCTTTCCTCTTCTCCCTGTAAGAATCTTGTGAGGATAAGACTGATGACCAACATCCCAAAGAATCTTGTCCTGAGGAGTATTGAAAATGTAATGAAGAGCCACTGTAAGCTCCACAACACCAAGACTTGACCCCAAATGTCCACCAGTTTTGGACACATTGAAGATCACATCTGATCTCAGTTCATCAGATAGTTGTTTCAGTTCCTGCATGAGTAAGTATATACCACCACAAGTCCCCTATCAATTTGTGACAAGATCTTTTGTAGAAAGCTAAAACAAATGAACCAAAGCTTTAGTTTTTTTACCTTGACAGATAGATTCTTCATGTGGATTGGGTAGTTGATAGTGTCAAGTAATGGAGTTGGTGGTCTGTTTGAATAATATTCACCCTTCTCTGCAAGTGAAGCATACACTTTTGCCTTTCTGTTTGACTGTATACACAACACAAACCCAAAATCAAAACAAATATTATAAGAACAAAAGCTGTCATTTTCTATAATCAGTTCCCAGAAAGACTCTAAATTTCACAAATATTCTCTTCAGAATTCAATAGCCTAAGATATAAAAAGGAGTCAAATTTGTTTTGACTTTATCAAAAACAAAGTAAACCCATTATTTAATTCAAGATTTTCACCAAAAGGGCAGCAACAAAATCTCAAATTTCTCAAAGGTGAAAGCAGAGAAAGAGAGAGAAGTCAACTTACATGGGAATTGTTGTTGGGTCTCAGACATGGCGATGAAAGATCTGTAACCAAAGATCGAGAAGAAGAAGAAGACAAAGAAGTTGATTTACAAGAATCAGTTGAAACTCCTTTGGTTATTATGTAAGAAGGAAAAGCAAATGCAGATGAAGCCATTTAGAAAAGGTGACTTTTTTATTTTTTTCTGAGAAGCTCAAAGACCAAACTAAAGTATTCAACTTTGAGAATGTTAAGTACCAAAGGATTTTTATAGAGAATATAAATTTAGGAAAACTGAGGTTATCAGAAACAGTGAACACAAGAAAAAATGAATAAAACGCAACTTTAAGAATCCACTAAAAACGAAAGTGTGTGTTAAATGGTGTTGGTGGTGGTGGTGGCAATGGTGGTGGTGGAGGAGAGTTGAAGAAGTGTAAAGATGGAGACTTTTAAATTTGGGTGATGAAATAAAACGACAAGAAAGCCAACTTCATGGATCATGAATTTTATGTAACCGTGGTTCTTATAAAAAAAGAAGAAAAAGAGAAAAAGCTCAAAAGATATTGAGATGGTTCGTCATCCGCAGAGAACTTGAGATTTTGGTTGGGCCACGTCAACCAAGAAATCCAAGTTTTGGATAGATATTGATATGCGTTTTGTACTTTGTACATTAGGACATCTTACATATGTATGTATTAAATTCATTTATAAAAATCTTATTTTAACAAAGAAATGAAAGTATTCTTTTTTAAAGTTATTTTATCTAATGTTTTAACAACAAATGTAGCAAAGGTGGGAAAGCTAATTTTTATCATTTCAATTTTCAGGTAAAAGAAAAAATTGTAATTTGTGAGAAAGCTATTTAATAATATATTAGCATTTTTTGAAAAGAATACAATCTTTAGGAAATAAAGAGTCATTAAAAGAATGTGAAATCTATATATTTTCTATAAAGAAACAAATCTTATTTGTTGAGATGTATTGTCTTAAACATTGCACAACCAAAAACGATAGTGGAATCCATAGATCAAAATTCTGTTTGAAAATTTGAAAAAAAAAAAGATCAAAAATATGATGAGCTGACCCATAAAAATTAACATGTACAATATATAGTTCAAACATCCCCTAAAATGAGTATGAATCTCATCACAAAACTCTTAAAAGAACATGTTATGTTTGACAATTGGCATCCTCAATTATTGGGTTTCCAGTTTCCACTAATGTTATGGTAAAAATGTCATATTTTTTAATTGGTGGTATTTTTAACTACATGTTGATGTAAATTTCTGGATTACTAATTTATATGCGACATTTGGATAAAATTTTATCGAAATTGCTTCGAGATTAAGAAAACTAATTTCTCAACTTTCTGTGTAATTGATCTTACGTAATAAGATTTTGTTTTATACTCTTAAATTCAGTCATTTTTCGAAATTTCTGACAGACAGACTATAATTTGGTCACCAAAAACCGACAAAACAATTAATGCAATTGTACAAAGAGATATTTGCGTCATAAATATTTAGTGTATGTTCTGTCGAACAAGATATTATCCATTCAAAAGTTGAACATATCTTACTATGCAGTTAACTCATTTTATTATCATTAACCACATCATTTTCAGTAGCCCATGTCTAAGTGAACATGACCATAAACACAAAACCTAGTTTTCAAACTTGGGTCAAGTATATATATTTTTAAAAATACTCATCTCATCACCAAATTGGTGGAGGAAGAGGATTATAAAAGATTTGAGAGTTTGACTACCCCATCTCTTTGATGAACCATTCTAACAACATACACATTCTAACACTACTAACTATACTATTGTAGGAGGAAAAAGGTTTATCAGTAACTCTACTATCACATTTTCCTCCTTCTATTTGATCTCTCCCGATCACCTTATCTTTGGAAGAGTTTCAAACCCACTCCAAGATCTGATTAATCTCCCTTAAGCTCACCAAATAGCATATTGTACTCCAAATCACTTCTTGGCCGAACCCAAAACATTACCATCACTTCTCCTCCCACCTTACTCTCTTATAACCCACATTGACATCTCTCGCCAGAATTATTTTTACTTTCATAATTAGGGAAAGACGAATGAAGATTTTGAGTAGAGTTTGTAATATGGAAAGAGACTCTTGTGTATGGATTCCAAAATTTTGAAATATATGCATAACATCCAATGCATTCAGTACATCATCATATCTCCTCCAACACTATAAAGTACATTAACGACTAACTTGATCACATATCTCACTATTGGGGTGAGTAGTTTGTTCAAATGGTTTCAATATCAAGTACTATGAGTAAATTTGCAAATGAAAACCACGTCTTCTGGTAGAATTAAGTACTTGGGCTCTATAATTGCCCAACAAACTTGTGAGTGTAATAACATGGGACATATTGAAGCCTGACAAGGTGTGAACTCCAGAAGATTCAACATCAGCATACGACTATAGCTGATCAGCCAAGTCTAGCTAGTAAGTTGAAATATGACATCTTTATTACACGGTCATAAAAACTTAGATCACAGTAACCATCATTCATACTCTTTAGTCTAAGCTATGGAAACCCTATTAAAAACTAGAATGCCGACTAAGCTCATGATCTAATCATAAATTTTGTAAAGCCACAAATGCAATAAGGCACTGATTTGTTCATTTCGAAACCATCAGAAAAATTACGTTGAAGTTCTAGATGACTAGATGTATAAACTCGATTATTATATGAAGTAAATAAAACCTTAACAGACTTTGATAATACACAAAACTTCACAACTCAATTCAAAAACTCAAAAATATACATAAGTGAGTTGTAGACAACAACTAATACAATATGTATACACTCTTAAGTATTATTCTAAATATATCTTCGACAGTTACTTAACCTCTAGAAAATTCAGCATATTTTTCTAAGACGACTTTGGATTCCACGAGACAAATACAAACTGGTAAACAAAATTTTAGTCAGCATATGAACACCGCTTTTAACACTCTCTTAGTCAATTCACTGTTTATCTTTTATATTGCGTATAGAATTTTATTGTCAAACAATCCTACTTTTCACGTAAGTTGAATGTTCTCATTCGTTAAATATAACAATCACTGTATATATAAAACCGTAAGCGAAATTAGTAGATATAAATTTGTACTATTTTCTAAAAGAAATTCGCATACATTTTTTATATGTACATAATATTATGTTATCGATAATAAAATAACATGACCGTTCAAAAGACACACTAATTTTAATTACTTTTTATATATAAAAAAAAAAGCACATGCAATGAAGATTACTTTAAGATGTTATCCATCGTAATTTTATTTTATTTTAATATAAATATAGTTATATTTGTTTAAATAATTTGAATAGGGTTGGCCAAATGGTCGTATGTTCGTATCCATAGAATCCAAGTGGCGACCTATCTATCTTTTACGTTTTCGTCATCACTAACGTCACAAGATTGCGTTGCCCAATGTTTAAGTTAGTGGGCTTTGCTCTGTGTTTTTGTCTTTTCAATTTATAAACTTTTCTTTTCTTCACTTAGATCTGTCATCTGTGTCAGTATTAATCTCTCTATAAATCGAAACCTGTTCATGTATTAGTCTTTTCATTACTATAAGTCTAAAAGTCTAAAACAAAAATGGACAACAACGACTCGAAGACACTCGCCGGTCCACACTTTCTATTCGTAACGTTTCCAGCACAAGGTCACATCAACCCATGTCTCGAGCTAGCCAAACGTTTCGCCGGAACCATCCCCGGAGCTAGAGTCACCTTCGCCGCCCCGGTCTCCGCTTACAACCGCCGCATGTTTTCTCAAGAAAACGTCCCTGAAACCCTAACCTTCGCTACATACTCGGACGGCTACGACGACGGCTACAAATCCTCTACTTCCACCGACAAGTCTCGTCAAGACGCGGCTGCGAACTACATGTCTGATATGAGAAGACGTGGCAAAGAGACACTAGCCGAACTTATAGAAGATAACCGGAGGCAGAACCGTCCTTTCACTTGTTTGGTTTACACGATTCTTCTCACTTGGGTTGCTGAGTTAGCGCGTGAGATTCACCTTCCTTCGGCTCTTCTTTGGGTTCAACCTGTTACAGTCTTGTCCATCTTTTACCATTACTTCAATGGTTACGAAGATGCACTTTCTGAGTTGGGTAATAACCCCTCTGGTTCTATTCAATTACCGTCTCTGCCACTGCTCTGTCTCCGTGATCTTCCTTCATTCATTCTCTCATCCAACGTCTACGCGTTTCTTATACCGGCGTTTCGAGAACAGATTGAGTCATTGAAAGAAGAAGCAAACCCTAAGATCCTCATCAACACTTTCCAAGAGCTTGAGCCAGAAGCTATGAGCTCTGTTCCTGATAATATCAAGATTGTCCCCATCGGTCCGTTGATAACCTTGAGAACTGATTCTTCGAGTCACGGTCATGAGTACATAGAGTGGTTGGATACGAAACCGGATTCGTCTGTGCTTTATGTTTCGTTCGGGACTCTTGCCGTGCTGATCAAGAAACAGCTTGTTGAGCTTTGCAAGGCGTTGATTAAGAGTCGGAGGCCGTTCTTGTGGGTGATTACGGATAAGTTTTACAGAAGTAAAGAAGATGAGCTAGAGAAAGAAGAAGATTTGATAAGTAGTTTCAGAGAAGAGCTCGATGAGATCGGAATGGTGGTTTCTTGGTGCGACCAGTTTAGGGTTTTGAATCATAGATCGATAGGTTGTTTCGTGACGCATTGCGGGTGGAACTCGACGTTGGAGAGCTTGGTATCAGGAGTTCCGGTAGTGGCGTTTCCACAGTGGAATGATCAGTTGACGAACGCGAAGCTTTTAGAAGATAGTTGGAAGACAGGTGTGAGAGTGATGGAGAAGAAGGACGAGGAAGGAGCTGTGGTGGTGGATAGTGAAGAGATAGGTCGATGCATTGAGGAAGTGATGGAGGAGAAAGCGGAGGAGTTTAGAAGAAACGCCGAGAGGTGGAAGGATTTAGCGGCTGAGGCGGTGAGAGAAGGTGGCTCTTCCTTTAACAATCTCAAAGCTTTTGCCAATGAGCATATGTGATTCAGTCTCATTGCTTTCGTTGATCTGTTGTAGAATTGAGATATACTATACCATCATTATTTGTGCTGTCTGTTTTAGCAGATGGTTCCATATCATCATCATGTGAAATAAAATGACAAAACCACAATACAATATTAACCATTCATTTTAGTAGATAAAACATGTTATCGACTGTTACTTAACCACATCGTTATTTTTGTTAGGAAATTTCTTTTTGACTATTTGGTGCAATTCTACAATTCAACATAATTATTTAAAGAGACTTCGGAGACAAATATAATCAAGTGCGTATACTTGGTAAACAAAGTGATGATATGAACACTGACTTTTAAGACTGTCTTAGTCAATTCGGTCTTTTATCTTTTAAATCTATTCACGTAAGTTGAATAGGCGTTTATGAATATGACAGTTGTCCACATGATATGAAAGACCCAAAAACAACAAATACTCTAAAACTTCATAATCGAATTATGGTTTATGAATATGACAAGTGTCCAAGTATTGAAAATTTTATTGATTTTTAAGAAAAGATTACTTGATTTTGATACTTGACTGAAACTATAAGAGGAAGGTGAAGATAAGATACTTTGAATCAGAAAAAAAAAAAGATGGTCTTCTTTCTTGTTCGCCATTGAAATGACTTAAGAGTGGAAAATATACGTTATCGAATAAAATAACATGATTAGTTTAGAAGACACATCAACTAGGCAACTAATTTTGATTATATTTTAAAGCACATGCAATTAAAACTACGCTTTATTTTACAAATATATATCATGCATCTACCTTATTTTATTTTTTGTATATTATTTTACAAATATAAAAATTGTTAAATAGTAGGGTTGGCCAAATGGTCCATGTGTTCGTATCGATACAATCCAAACTATCTTTAATTTTTCGTCATCACTAACGTCTCAGTGGGGCTTTGCTCTGTGTTTTTCATTTTTCCATTTATAGAGATCTGTGTCAGTATGATCTCTCTATAAATCCAAACTTATTATTGCAAACACAACACCATATCGCAAATCTAGAAAAGATGGACAAGAACAATTCTAAGTCAACCGTCGCTCCAAACTTCCTATTCGTAACATTTCCAACACAAGGTCACATCAACCCATCTCTCGAGCTAGCTAAACGTCTAGCCGGAACTATCTCCGGCGCTAGAGTCACCTATGCAGCTCCGATCTCCGCCTACAACCGCCGTATGTTCTCTCAAGAAAACGTTCCCGAAACCCTAACCTTCGCTACCTACTCCGATGGCTACGACGACGGCTACAAGTCCTCGACTTCCTCCGACAAGTCTCTTAAAGACGCGACCGCAAACTTCATGTCTGAAATGAAAAGACTTGGCAGAGAGACACTAACTGAACTGATCGAAGATAACCGGAGACAGAACCGGCCTTTCACTTGCGTGGTTTACACGATCCTTCTCACTTGGGTTGCTGAGCTAGCGCGTGAGATTCACCTTCCTTCGGCTCTTCTTTGGGTCCAACCTGTAACAGTCTTCTCCATTTCTTACCATTACTTTAGCGGCTACGAAGATGCAATCTCAGAGATGGGTACTGATCCCTCTAGTTCTGTTAAATTACCGTCTCTGCCACTGCTCTGTCTCCGTGATCTCCCTTCTTTCATCGTCCCTTCCGGTGCCTACGCGTTTATCTTACCGGTGTTAAGAGAACAGATTGAGTCACTGAAGGAAGAAGCAAACCCTAAGATCCTCATCAACACTTTCCAAGAGCTTGAGCCGGAAGCTATGAGCTCTGTTCCAGATAATTTCAAGATTGTCCCCATCGGTCCGTTGATAACTTCGACAACGGATTCTTCGAGTCACGGTGAGTACATAGAGTGGTTGGATACGATAGCGGATTCGTCTGTGCTTTATGTTTCGTTCGGGACGGTTGCAGTGTTGACCAAGAAACAGCTTGTGGAGCTTTGCAAGGCTTTGATTCAGAGCCGGAGGCCGTTCTTGTGGGTGATTACGGATAAGTCGTACATAAGGAAGCAAGATGAGCAAGAGAAAGAAGAAGATTGCATAAGTAGTTTCAGAGAAGAGCTCGATGAGATAGGAATGGTGGTTTCTTGGTGTGATCAGTTTAGGGTTTTGAATCACAGATCGATAGGTTGTTTCGTGACTCATTGCGGATGGAACTCGACGTTGGAGAGCTTGGTATCAGGAGTTCCGGTGGTGGCATTTCCTCAGGGTACTGATCAGATGACAAACGCGAAGCTTTTAGAAGATAGTTGGAAGACAGGTGTGAGAGTGATGGAGAAGAAGGACGAGGAAGGAGTTGTGGTGGTGGAGAGTGAGGAGATACGGCGGTGCATTGAGGAAGTAATGGAGGAGAAAGCGGAGGAATATAGAGGTAACGCGGCAAGATGGAAAGATTTAGCGGCGGACGCTGTGAGAGAAGGTGGCTCATCTTTTAACAATCTCAAAGCTTTTGCCGATGAGCATATGTGATTCAGTCTCAGAGATGTATGTGATTCAGTCTCAGAGATGTACTTCTTAGTTCCATTTCATAAAATGTTTTAAGTGGATTCTTTTTTTAAAAGTTTGAAATTTTCATGTTTTTATACAATATTTATTGATAATTTATTCTTTAGTGTCTTTCGTTGTTGGTCAAACTGTTATTTACCACTAAGATTAAAGCGGATTACCATAACGCTCTGTTTCGTACTTTATTTTTTAGTTCTTTCTTGCTCTGTTTTTAGGGCTTACACTATAGAAAATACACAAATTTGTATGTTGATTTGGTTTATTTTGAAGATGATGAAATGTAATTTATTGAAGATGTGAGAGATAGATAGATAAATAGATACACAACAAATACAAATGATACAATCAAATTGTCAGTTTCAGTTGGACTTACTTGACAGCCAAGAAACAAAGGAATGGAATGTTGCAGATTGAACCCTGAGTTTTCCGAGTATATATTTTCTTTTGAGTAACAGAAGAATCAAGCACTCAGTGAGCGTTGCGTGTGATCAAGCCCTCAAATATGACGTATAGATCTCTGTTATCGCCTCCAAATATCTCTTCAGCTTTCCTAAGTGTTTCCTGGAAAAGAGAGGAAATAAACATAAGTCGAAATCCAAAGTCTGAATCAAAAGGCGGTAAGCAAGATTGAGATATTATCTTCTTACTTCTCTGGTTTGCTTGTGAGCGTTAAGATCCTTCACATTCCCAAGAAATGCACCAAATTGCTCGTAAGATAATCGGCTCCTGATCAAGATTCAGAAACAAGGATGTAAAAATGTTGCAGACAATGTGGTAGAAACAAGAGCTGGTTTTGTATGAATTTTCAGGGTAGGAGTCTCTACCTGACTTGTCGGAAGAACTCTTTTCCATCAACCCGAGTTCTTGCTGATAACACAAATAACAAACAAACCGTTAAACAAATCGTGTTCTCCCAATACCCGCAACAAGAAAAAATCCTGATTTTCAACTCACCAGTGTGTGAACCAGGCTCTGAGATTGAAATAGAGGATCTAGTATCATCAAGCATGCCTCTAGTAGTAGAGAACGATACAGAATGACGTCGAGGAGAGATAGGTCTCGAAGTTGATCTAGGTGTAGCAGAAGCAGACAAAATAGGTGGAGAACCAGGAGGAGTTAGCCGGGGCGTAGCAGTTTGTGATAATACTACTGGCAGACTGGCTGATAAACTCGGTTTAGGAGCTACGAAATAACACGAAGCACAAACTTAGGTTCTTACTCAAATACTTTTGAATAAAAGACACACACACAAACAACAGTTTAGTACTCAAATACAATATACCATCATTGATTTCGTTGTCTGTTGTAGTAACAGCAGCTGGTTCAACAACTTCAGAAGCTTGAGATTGTATTGATGAATGTCTTGAAGGTTGAAATGGAGTATCATCATCTGAAGGAAAATGAAAAAACCACACTCAATATCAACCATAAAAGTTAAAACACAAGATTTCACTAAAACCCCTCTCAAGAACTATACCATTTGGTGTCGGCTTAGCGATGATTTGCGTCGTTCCTGCCTGTTTAAACCCCAAACATAAACAATTCAAGTTTCAAGATTATTAAAAAAATTCTAACTTGTTCAAAGAAAATTGAAGTTTGCATACATTTTGGTCATCATCTTGAAGAGACATCATAAGAGTCTTCCTAAAACCCTCAAGCTGCACATAACTCACAAAATTAGAAACTAAGAGACTCTCAAGTCAAACATTTTGAAATTAGAGTTCAAAAATTACCTTAGTGACATCTCTTTGAAGTCTTTTCACAGTATTAGACAACGAAGCATTCTCTCTTATCAAATTCTCCTGCAAAAATTTCGAAAGGTAAGTCAAAATTAAAACAAAAAAACAAATCGGGTCAAAAAAAAGTCAAAACCGGGTTCGGACCTTTTCACCATCGGCGAGAGAAAGCTTATGTAAAGCATCGGAGAGAGAAGCGTCAAGAGACTCAACGTGAGATTGCAGCTCGGCAATATCTCTATCTTTCTCGGCGACGAGTTCTCGGAGATCCGACGACTCTGCTTCGAGAGAAGAGACACGTGTCGAGAGAGCGATGGATGTGATTTTGCGAGCTACATCGAGCTGCTCAAATGGATCGGAAGGTAGAACTTTAAGAACTTCTTCGGGAAGATCGAAGCTTCTCGAATCATCATCACCTGTAATTGCAGCTGTTGATCCTTCTTCTTCTTCTTCTACCTCTGACATTTCTTGATTTCTGTGTTTTCTTTTTCTTTTGTTTTAATTATCCGTTTTTATCGTTTTTTTTGGGTGTTTCTTATATTCCGGTTATGTAACGGTATAATAAACCGGTATTAATTCTAAACCGAAATTTGTGTCTAAACCAATCAATTGCTTAAATTTATTGTCAAAAGACTCAAAATTAATCGGTTTATTTACTCAAACTCTAACGAGTAATGGCTGTTAACGATAAAACGTAGAGAAATTAGAATCTTGGTTTGGTGTTAAGATTTCGGTTCGGTTATGTAATGTTTGATTGTGATTTTGATTGATTGATTGATTGGATAGAAAGAATGTGGTCACGCATGGTTTGTTTTGTGTAGAGTATGATATGAGGTATTGTGTGGTATTGAGCCATGTTTGTGAGCTGTGAATGGATAGGACTATAATTTGTTGGACCCTTTTAGTTAAGAAGAGACAAAAAATAATTAATAAGTTACGAAAAAAAAATAAAATAAAGAACATTTTGTTTCAAAAAAATGTATCTTTTATTGGTTAACAATAATAAATCGTAAATTTATAATCAAGTTTTAATATGTGTGGAAACTGGAAAGTCTAAAAATTAGATTAATTATGAATAGAAGGAGCAATTAGCTAGATATGACTTATGAGAAAGACAATGTTATTGAAAATTCTTGTGGAATCGTATAGTTATGATCACTAATGATAAATTACATCCATGTACTTATTTCCATAATTGTTGGATTTGTATTAAACCTTGATTAGATTGACTTTCGAATCTTTGTTTTGTTTCTTTTGATTATGAGACTTCAATTTTTAGTTTGCTACTCGTTCATTTACACAATAACTGAAAAAGATGATATTCTACGTTAGTATGTTTTACACATTTCAATGTATCATATGGTAGAAACTTTAGCATAAGTTATAGAACACACAAGGTCTTTTAACAGATATAATCTTCTAGTAAGACTAGGTTTTAACCCGCGGTACACCGCGGGGCTAAATTTAATTATTGTTTTTTCAAATATTAAACTTGAGAAATTAATTGTATAAATAGTATAAATTTGTATATTAGTGTATTGTGCATTTGTATGAGGTGAGCATATTATGTTGAGTAAAAACGAACGTGTACAGGAGTAGACGTATTCCGGAGATTGAAATTATACTTATAATGTCAATTTGGTGATTTAATCTGTGTCATAATATTGTTGCTATAGTTTTGTGCTTGTTTATTATTGTAATGGTATATTGTCTCAAATTTTCCTGAGTCTTTGAAACTATCTCTGTATCCAATTATTTTAAATCTAACACCATTTATTTTTTAAGTAGTAAAATTTTAGGTTTTAAATAGGTTATTTCAGGTTTCATTAGGTTGACTGTGGAGGTGGATTTATTTATAACTACTCCATAAAGTGCATATTCAATTACTAAAATAACACTTACATCTTAGGTGAGTTGAAAAATAGTTTTCTGAGGGAGGGCATTTTTAGTCATTTATGGGTAAAATTTGAAATGATCCGACCCGGTATAACCTAACCCGCGCGCCTACACCGGATTATTTGTTTCATACGCAAGCAGTGTTCGATCCACGTACAAAACTATCTTTCAAAGATTTTTGTCTTTTTCGTATGGGCTGCCATTTAAAAGAGAAGGTTATTTTGTATGGGCTCACTAATTTAAGTCTTTCTTATATAAATATGTTGTTTAATTTTTGGGTCCGTAAGACCCATTTACCTGGACCTTAAATGTTTTCGATGGTTTGTAATCGAACTTAATACTACTATGAAATGATAAACAAATAAGGGTAAATACAAATTATTCGATGTAATCGAACTTATCTGTGTTGTCAAGAATTGGCCGTCTGGATTCCTTTCGATCCAATATCATTCTCAATGTTGTCAATCAAAACAACGATGGGTTCTAGAAGCATACACCAAAATAAATGGGATCGAAGTCAGCAGAAGCGACTAATATCGCCGGAAGATAGTTACTCCATCGTTTGATCTACTTTGAAGCAAAGCATGGACTACCCAACACATAACTGTTTGTGTTTTACTTAATCCAATTCCAAATTTAGGTGAGTTGATCAATTTCAATCAATTTCATTCTTCCCCAATTTCTGGGTATATAACCTACACCAATTACTGGCTTCTTTACGGGTGGTTTAAATAACTTGTCCATGGTTTCCTGGAATACGTTATTCTAATTTAACTATAAACGGACATTCGTGTTGTTTTACACACATTTGCTACTTCACATACTTAGCATAAAGTAATTGTTTTCCAGATTGTGCTCTCACATAGGACAATGCTTATCAAGGAAATTGGAAATTACAGCTTCTTTATGCAGTGTTAACTTGAGTGACGGTAAACAATAATTCTTACGGGTAAGTATCCTCAAGAGTGTTTTTTATACACGATTCTCATTACTGGACTGTACCTTTCCTAAACTGTTGCATAATGATACATGAAAAGAGCAAGATTGTTTTTTTTGTAAGGTGTGAAGATTGGAAGAAGCTAATACTTCGACTCATGAAACTTTAGGATAATTTCATGAATATACTCTTCAAGGTAAGTTCGTGTAACAATCTTGCTCTTCAAATGGATAAGTATATGTCAGTTTATATCATCATGATAGTCTAATGTAGTAGTTGACTGGATTACAAATATAATTAAGAGTATTGCAATGAATTTTATTGATGATGAGTTTCATGCCTATTTAGGACAATAATGAGACAGTGATTGTAGCATTTTTTGGAAAAGGTAGATGAAATACAATAAATAGCAAGGTTGAGAGAAATCTCATTCTTCCAATAAACC